TGACATTTGGCCCAGTCTACACACAGGCCAAATGTAGACTGCTGTGTGTGATAAATCCTCTTGCCTGTTTTTGTTGGAGGCAAAGGAGGAGCAGGGGGAAGAGTTGTTAGTCTTTAAAGTGCTACATTGTCCTGCATTTTGCTTCAACTACCCCAGACTAACACGGCTACATTTCTATCATCTTTCTCACCTGTTAATGATGTTATTTGGTTCCCTAAACGGTTAAAAGTGTTATCTGTTTACTCCCATCACAGTGATCTCCAACCTTTTTACGCTCAAGATCTCTTTTTAATTGTCAAAACAAGCCAAGATCTACTGCCCCATCCTTCCCCCAAGACCACACCCCTTTCTTCAAGCCCCGCCCTCTCTGTTCTCCTCCTCTCCATCACTTACTATCTCCAGACCTTATACACATTAAGACTGTGTCTACACTGGCCCCCTTTTGCGGAAAAGGGATGCAGATGAGACAAGTCAGAATTGCAAATGCAGCAGGGTTTTAAATTTTCCCCGCTCCATTTGCATGAACATGGCTGCCGCTTTTTTCCGGCTCGGGGCTTTGCCGGAAAAAAGTGCCAGTCTAGACAGGGATCTTTCGGAAAAGGCTTTATTTTCCGAAAGATCCCTGTCTAGACTGGCACTTTTTTCCGGCAAAGCCCCGAGCCGGAAAAAAGCGGCAGCCATGTTCATGCAAATGGAGCGGGGAAAATTTAAAACCCTGCTGCATTTGCAATTCTGACTTGTCTCATCTGCATCCCTTTTCCGCAAAAGGGGGCCAGTGTAGACACAGTCTTAATGTGTATAAGGTCTGGAGATAGTAAGTGATGGAGAGGAGGAGAACAGAGAGGGCGGGGCTTGAAGAAAGGGGTGTGGTCTTGGGGGAAGGATGGGGCAGTAGATCTTGGCTTGTTTTGACAATTAAAAAGAGATCTTGAGCGTAAAAAGGTTGGAGATCACTGTGATGGGAGTAAACAGATAACACTTTTAACCGTTTAGGGAACCAAATAACATCATTAACAGGTGAGAAAGATGATAGAAATGTAGCCGTGTTAGTCTGGGGTAGTTGAAGCAAAATGCAGGACAATGTAGCACTTTAAAGACTAACAACTCTTCCCCCTGCTCCTCCTTTGCCTCCAACAAAAACAGGCAAGAGGATTTATCACACACAGCACTGGTGGAGTGCTACCAGGGGTTAAGCTGGTTAACACTGCTTAAGCAAAACATTACAAGGCATTATATAAGGGGCTGATGGGCAGATGGGGAAACAATTCAATAGGTTCTAGCAGCAAGAGGAAATGAACACGTAAGCCCGTAAGCTAAGAAAGATTACATAGCCTCTCCGCCCATCGTCACACACACACCTTATCTCCAATACAAGTAGTTTTCCTTAACAGGCTTCCTTAAATGGCAACTTTTGTCTAGTTAAATTATGATGTGTCTGTGATGGCGCCTCGTGCGGATGTGATCCATGAGTTTATGGGCCCGTTATCTCGGATTAGAGCAAAACATGTTAGCAAAGATCATAGAATACTAGGACTGGAAGGGACCTTGAGATGTTTTGGTATCAGCTGGTGTAGCCCCTTGGAATGTTGTTGCCAGGGCGACTGTGCCTTCCCAAGGTCTCTCTCCTCAGGCTAGCGGTCTGTCTGTGAGGTTTACAGGTTTCGAGGTTAGAGCCTATACAGGACTTCAGAATTTGAATAGGGGTTCTTAACAAAATACCATGGACTGCCTCAGTTTACCTTACAGTTATTGTAGGGCTTGAACAACACAGGGAGAGTTAGAGAAGGAGCCCAGGGAGAGAGAGGAACAGGTTGTTTAGGCCTGAATTTGGTGCAGGAAGTAGGAATGGTTGAAAACTTCCTGTCAAACACTTTTCAGCACAAACTTGCATTCCCAACCATTTTTGATGGAGAGCATCTGCTTCCCTCACAAAGGTCTACCTTTTCATGGGAAGCCAGAAAGTCCGAAAGCATTCAACCTGAAATGTCCAGTTCTTTCAGCAGGCGTGGGCTGAATGTTTCTGGGTTTCAACATGGTTTTTGTGGGGGGAGGGGATTGAATGGGAAAAATTTCCTGACAGGAGGAGCCTCCAGGTGGATTCCAATGGGGTTGGTTTAACCCTCCTTGGAGAAGCAGAGGTAAATATGAACTCCAGCATCATTCTATTATTTGCTCCTTTTCTATATGAGACTGGAGAAAGGCTGTTCTCAGTAGTGATGGATGGCAGAACAAGGAGCAATGGTCTCAAGTTGCAGTGGGAGAGGTCCAGGTTGGATATTAGGAAAAACTATTTCACTAGGAGAATGGTGAAGCACTGGGATGGGTTACCTAGGGAAGTAGTGGAGTCTCCGTCCCTAGAGATTTTTAAGTCTCAGCTTGATAAAGCCCTGGCTGGGTTGATTTACTTGTGATTGGTCCTGCCTAGGGCAGGGGGCTGGACTTGATGACCTTCTGAGGTCTCTTTCAGCTGCATAGTTCTATGATACTTCAGCTTTTTCCACATCATGTGTCACTAGGTTACCTTCCACATCCAGTAAGGGTCCCACACCCTCTCTGATCACTCTCTAATTGCTAACTTGCCTTTCTTGTTACCCTTTGCATCCCTTGCTACCTGCAATTCCAATTGTGCTTTCGCCTTCCTGATTATTTCCATGTATTCTAGAGCAATATATTTATACCCCGCCCTAGTCATCTGTCCAAGCTTCCACTTCTTATAAGCTTCCTTTTTGTGTTTACGCTCACCAAGGATTTCCCTGGTGAGCCAAGCTGGTTGCCTACTGTATTTGCTTTTCTTACTGCACATTGGGATGGTTTCTGTGCCTTCAATCAGGCTTCTTTAAAATGCTGCCAGCTCTCCTGGGGTACGTCTGTACTGAAACACTATTTCAAAATAACTAGGGCTATTCTGAAATAACTTAGTCTGCGTCTACACAGCAGGCAGTTATTTTGAAATAGTGTCAAAATACTGTCAAGCTGGAGGACTTCTTACTCTGATTCCTGTACCCCTCATTGTACAAGGAGTAAGGGAATTCAGGGGAAGAGTGCTCTACTTCAAAATAAGTGTTGTGTAGACACTCCCTATTTCGAAATAAGATATGCAATTGATGTAGCTCAATTTGAGTTAAGCCCTGCAGTGTAGACTCACCCCTGGACGGACTCCTTTCTCCTTCATGTTAGCATCCCAAGGAAGCCTGCCCATCAGTTCTCTGACGGAGTCAATATCTGCTTTTCTGGAGTCCTGGGTGTGTATTTTGCTGCGTTCCTTTCTTCTTTCTGTCAGGATCCTGAAATCTACCATCTCCTGCTGTCCAGCACAGAACTGGGCCTGCCCCAAGGAGCTTCCAATCCAACTTTCAAAGCAGAATGGAAGAGGGGCCAGGTGGGAACCACCAGGTGAGGGAGCATAAGGGAACCATGAGCCAGTAGGGTGAGCATGGCAGGCAGTGCTCTTAGACCCCCACCAGCCGGACCTCCAATGTCTTTGCAGGCTTCCTGGCAAAGGAGATCTTTAGGAGGGTGTTGAAGGAAGATGGTGGGTAGGTCTGCGGGCAGTTAGAGAGTTTGTCCCACATGGCAGGGGAGAGAACACAAAGGGGCTTGTTAGAAGATGGAGCAAGAGGGCACCGGAGCCTGAGAGCATGGGTTGAGGGAGTCAGGGATCTATCTTTCAATACCCAAGGAGGGATGATAGAGAGGGTGGAGTAAGTCATGAAGGGCCTTGAAAGGGAAGCCAAGGCCTCACTGGTAAAAATGTTATGGCTACAGGAACCAACCCTTGTTTTAAGATCCCACACAGTTTTGGGGGTGCCCCTCTGCCACCCATCCTGGAAGCAGAAAGAATTTGCCAGCTTCTGAAAAGCCGTGTTTATGGGAGGACCCTGCAGCGGCTCTACACCTGAAATTTAGCCACTACGTTTTTTACTTGTGAAACGTAGCCATGAAATTTTACCCACAAAAGCGGATGCCCAAAAAAATCTGAGTCTTTAAGGCACCACAAGACTCCTCGTTGTTTTCACAGATCCAGACTAACACGGCGGCCCCCTGAGACCTAGAATGTAGGGTGCGCATCACACCTCTGAGATGTAGTTAAAAGCCAGCCTAAAAACCCAAGGTAGACACTGCCAGGCCAGTGCAGAATTAGTCTGTTGGCCTAACTTCTGCCACTAGAGGGGACAGATGAACTAGACCAGTGGGTTTCCAGCGAGGGGTTGCGACCCAGGACTGGGGGGTGGAATGTCAGGCCCTGGGTCTCGTGGCTGCAGGGGGGATCAGGTGAGCAGTTGGGGGGGGGGGCTAAGGCAACTCCCTGCCTGACCCGGCACTGCAGACTGCGCTGCACCCCAGAAGCGGCCGGCAGCAGGTCTGGCTCCTAGGAGAGAGGGGGAGAGCGCCCAGGGCTCCTTGCATTGCCCCTGCCCTGAGCAGTAGCTCTGCATCCGCATTGGCTGGGAACCGCATTGGCCGCTTTTGGGGGCAGCATGATCTGCAGTGCCAGGGCAGTCAGGAAACTGCCTTAACATTCCCCCTGCACCGCTGACTAGGAGCTGTTCAAGGGAAGCCCTTCCTGCCCTAGCCCTGACCCCCCAACCCAAAGCCAGAGCCCCCTCCTACAGCCCAAAGCTCCCATCCTCAGCCCCACCACAGAGCCCACACTCTAGCCAAATTCTGTTGCGTCATGGGAATCAATGATTTTTTTTTCAACTGGGTCGTGAGAAAAAGAAGTTTGAAACTTGCTGGCTGAGAGGGAGAAAGCAAAGCAGGCCCGCATAGGCCAGCTGACTCTGAACAGCTGGGAGAGACACACAGGTCTCCACCCAAGAGAGGTGGCAAATGAGGAGCGTGAAATCCAGAGCTGAAGCTCCACACGGAAGGCGAAGCCCAGTGCTGTGGCACTGAGCTATGGCAAACAGCGTGCTACCCTCGCCTGCCCACGTGGTGGGGGATGGTTGAGGTGTCCCGTGCATTACAAACGGCGGCTGAAATAACGAGAGGACACAGGCTGGGTAGGTTCCCTGGTGTATTGATTTCGGCATACAGAAATATTGTAACATTTCCAATTAACAGTACAAGGCCTTGCCAGATCCACCCACCGTGACCAAACTTTAACGGTGACAAGGCAGGGACGTCCTCCGCAGAGCAGCACCCAGCAGAATGGACCGAGGTGAGTGATGCTGAAGGCAGGAGGTGGGGCAGAGGACTGGCATGGTGGTGGGTACCAGCCTTGGCCAGCGGTAGTCTCCAAGACAATAAGATCAATAGACAGGGGGACCAGGGTGCTTTTAGTTTAGTGTTGGATTTTTGCACCAAAAAGAAAGGCAAATACTTTGCCAATATGGCATGGACTGGACAATTCTACGCTGACTTTGCTCTGAGCTGCCCTTGACTCCCTCACCTAGCTACGAAGGAGGAGGGGCGTGCAGGGGGCTTCCTCAAGCAGCGTCGCACATGAAGACAAAAGCCACTGAGCACGACAGGGCAAATGGACAGGATGGACTTTGCAGTCCGGATCCATCCGGGGCCCAGACAGGCCTCCAAAACAAATCAGTTAGTGTAACAGTGTCCTGTCCTGCCACCCTTGTCTATTCCCTGTTCCTTAGCGGACTTGAGGCCCAATCCTGCTGCCTCCGTCCCTGCAAAGACTCCCTGAAGTCCGCAGACAAGTGGGGTGGGACGCAGGGGAGAAGCAGCAGCTAGTGCAGCTGTAAGCATGCAGAGCCAGAGCATCAGCTGGTGTCAGTAAGCTCTGCTAAGGCCACGGCGGGGAAAGAAGGTTCCACCCCAGCTGAGGATGTGGCGCCTATTAACTGAGAACAACCCCCCCCGGCACCCAACTTGCTTTGCTCAGCCTCTTGGTGACCATAAAGGTCGCTCTGGTCAGGGCTGGTGTCGACATCTGGTCCCAGGCTTGAAACCGGTTTCGTTCCCTTATGGCTCCGTCCTTGGATCCCTAGGCTACCCGGCTCTCTAAACAGGACTCCTCCTTCCTCTCCCTTTCTCATTAAGCTCCACCCATCAGCATCACCCACTAAGGCACAACTTGGCTGCCTTAAAAAAAAAAAAAAAAAAGTGTTGAGTAACCCCACAAGTACAATACGAGAACTGACCCCAGCAGTGTCCCCCTGGCTATGGCAGTGCAGCAGCTAGCAGGGAATGGCAGTGAAGCAGAGGAAATGGGACAAAAGGGGAGAGCATAAGCTAATGCCCCCGGGCGATTAAACAGCGTCTAAAGCTGACATGGTGCTGTCAGGGAGAATCAGGCCCACTGGGTGAATTTCCCCAAGGTTCTTTTTGTCGCTGTGCTCATCAGTTACAGTCCTGTCCACTTTAAGGCCACTTTCGACTGAGCGCGACGTAAAAAGGCCTTGGTGAAGATGAGAAACGGGCCCGATGATCTGATCCTCCTACTAAAGGATTCTGGGCCTGAACCAAACTCACTGACTTCAAGTGAGCTTTGCCGTAGGGTCTAAGTGCAAAGGCATGGCCTGGCTGTGATAGCAATAGGGCCCCTGCTGGGAATCAACAGTCAACGCTCAGCTTTGATGCCCTGGCGGCTGCTAGCCCTATATAAAAAGCTTTGGCAAATATATATAGATATGTATCTAAAGAGCTATTAAACTACAGTCTTTTTTTCCTCTTTTTTTGGTAACCATGATTCTGCAACTTCTTTGGTTTTAGATTTTTAAAAAAATTTTGAAGCTGAAAAGCTATTTTTTTATAGAAATAGTTTTTTTTCTTTAAAAAAAATCAAAGCATCTTTTAGCATTTTTATATATATGTATATATAAAATTTCTGCTGTAGAAAAAACACCAAAAAGAAAAAAAAAAAAAAAAAACCCTTCGGGGGAAGGGGAAATGGTTCTCTTGCTTTGGAGAGAAAAAGCATGGTATGGCATTTGGTAAGCGAGAGCGCCCTCTGCTGTTTACATGATGCTGCAATTTTGCGGCCCCTGGAGAGAGAAAAGAGAAAATAAACATTAATTCCTTTAACTGAAGCAAAAGTGAAGGATGTTGAAGTGGGTACCTGGCTAATTGTGTATTCGGATACCATTTGTATTGAGGACACAACGCGTCGATAAGGGGCCCTGTTGCAGCTGCCTTTTAAAGAGCCAGGTGACTCGGATTACATTTAAAACGCAGAGCTGCAGTGCGGGTAACTCCTGGAGCCAGCGCGAGCTGGGACTGAGCAGTTCCAGCTCACACCGGCTCTGTGACCGCTGCGGCTATCCCCGTCACGCACCGCAGAAATGCTGCTGTGGGAACTGGCTCCACCCAGCACCGGCTTCTGCTTCCTCCTCCCCACCTTGCTTCCTCTGATACAGAGGCGGCGGGGGAAAATGGGGAGGGAGAAGAAGCAGTCGAGTAGTGACTAGGCTGCTAGATAACTCTAAGCTGTTTGGGTAGTTGACTACTGGAGTAGTCGCTTGTGTCACTGATTAAAGCGGAACAGTAGTAACGGTCAGAAAAATCTATTTGTAAGTAGTGTTAGAGTACTGGAACAATCCCGTTAGTATTACAGAGTACTGGAACAATCCCGTTAGTATTACAGAATACTCAGCTCAGATATCAGATTGTGACCTTTTATGGTCAGGAGCAATCTTTTTGTTTTTAATTGACCAGCACCAAGTACCATGGAATCCTGACTGACGAGTGAGTTTTCAGAGTGCTATGGTAGCACAAATAAGCAATAACAATAGTGATTATTAGTGCTTTTCATCCATATCTTAAAGTGCACTACAGTCATATAAAATCATTCTCCCTATTTTATAGATGGAATATCTATAAAGTTGAGAATCAGAAGAATACAAGAATCTAGTTTGAGAATTAGAAGAAAACTGGTTAGAATAGTATTAATCTAAAACTAATACCAATTATTAAAATGGTACTACTACTAATCATGAGCTAGCGCTGGAGTATTACAATACTAGATACTAAAGCACTAACATTTAGGGTTGGAGTATTATAAATGGAAGCACAGGTTGCACCTCTCTAGTCTGGCACCTTTGAGACCTGACAGATGCTGAATCAGAATTTGCTGGATACGGGAGGTCAATACTGTCTAGCACATGGGTTCCCAAACTGTGGGGTGTGCCCCCCTGGGGGTGTGTGAAAAAATTCCAGGGGGGGCACGAGGTGACCCAGCCACCTCCCGCTCCCCCGTCAATCTCCTCCCTTGGGGGGGGCGTGAGGGTTTCTCAAAAAATCAAAAGGTGGGCATGATGCCAAAAAGTTTGGGAACCACGGCTCTAGCAGCATTAGCAACACTTCCACCGCTTGCTGGGCTCTTAGAACACATGTAGGGGTCAATCAGAGCTAAAGAACAGCACAGAGTCCTCAGAGCCAGGAGCGATGACTGTAAACAAACTTTATGGGACCCATGGGAAGTGGACATCCGGCTAACTAAAATCATGGCAGACCACGGATGTTGCCAGACAAGGGAGTGCCAGACTAGAGAGGTTCAGTGTGTACTATGAATTAGCATTAGAATATTAACAATACACCAGAATCCTATTTATCTGATCTAAGTGGGCCGGGACCATATTGGGTACTTAGGAAATCTGGAGAATGGGAAAGCGGGAGGCTGTGGCGCCATCTAACAGCCACAGGGGAGACTGCCTGCTTCTGGATCGGCGAGCACTGGGTATTTTTGGAGAACAGGATGATGGTGCGCTGGATAAAGGGGGCTTTTGTGTAATCCACCCTCAGAGCGTGAGTAGTAACACACCACTCATATGGCGCTTCTGTACTAGAGGTCATCCAAGGATGTTCCTTACAGACAGACAGGCACGGCAGTGCTATTAAACCAGCTGCATAGCTGGGACACTGGCACAGAGAGGCTAAGTTATGTGCCAAGGTCATGCAGAAAGACATGGACAGAGTAGGGGATAGGACCATGAGTTTCCTGTTCCCTGGTTAAGCTAATGAATTTTTCTTCTTACATAAGAACGGCCAGACTGGGTCGGACCAAAGGTCCATCTAGCCCAGTATCCTGTCTGCTGACAGTGACCAATACCAGGTGTCCAAGAGGGAATGAACAGAACAGGGAACCATCAAGTGGTCCCTCCCCTGTTGTCCACTCAGAGCCTCTGACAAACAGAGGCGAGGGACACCATCCCTGCCCCTCCAGGCTAATCACCATTGATGGACCTAACCTCTATGAATCTATCTAGCTCTTTTCTGAACCCTGTTACCGTCTGGGCACTAAGGATGGATGTCTGGTGCCTGGACTCTGTCCTGAGACGGAGAGGGACACAGATGCGTGTACGTTTCCCTAGGAGAATCACCTTGCATCAAAGACAGTCAGTAGAAGGACGCCTGGACCACGTGTTTAGTCAAGAGAAGGCTGCCAGGAGGGAGCCAAGGGGGGTGAGGGAAGATGTGGGCAGGTCAATGTCAGAAGGGAAGTAGAAGCAGCCAGGAGATGGAGAAAAGGGGAGAGAAGTGGGAAAAGGAGCCCAAAGCAGGAGACGGAAGATCATCCCTCTTAGGACAACAATTGAGGGTTACAAGGGTTGCTTCCCAGGAACTGGGGGGATGGGTTTCTCACTCAGCTGAGCAGAGCCAGTTGAGGTCTCTGTGCAGGTTTTCCCCCCACTTCAGAGTCCAGCTAACGTTAAAATGGGAACTCCAACTCCTGGCTGTGCTGTGGCAACGCTGCCTCTGGGATGCTCAGCGGCCGGCGTGGGGTTGGGAGGCTTTTCACCAGCTTCCAGCCCAGAGATCTGAGCCACTGGCTGCCTGACTGGCCAGTAAAACAGCCCAGGCCACACATCAGCAAACCAAAATCGAGAGTAGCCAGGAACTGGAAGGAAGGGCGTTAACCTACAAATAGGGTCCTTATCTCCAATGTTCTGGGTATAATCAACATCACCACCCATGTACAAGGCACAAACCATCATGCTTCAAGGCATGAGCCAGTCACTAGCTGCCTGGGGAAGGAAGAAACACGTTCCCCCCCATGGGCAGCAATTCCATCGTTTTCCACTGGGGGGCTCTTAATTAATCTGAAATCACTGGCCAGCGGAGGGGACTTGCTGCTGCTTCAGATGGGTCACTAGTTTGGGTCCCAGTGAGGTGCACCCGTGGGAACCCAAAGGCTCAGAACTCCCCTCGGGCAGTCTGGTTATGGACAGCTGGGACGATCTGGGGGGAGCGCAGGCCTAGACGGCTACAGTTTGGTTCTGCTGCAGGGCGCGCAGAGCTAATCGGGGAGCCCCATCGGCAGCCGGTCGTTTGGCTGTTGCCTCGTTATCCCAGGCTCCCGCCCCAGGCGGAGCAGCTCGGTTCTGAGTTTTCTGTGGCAGACCCAAACAATGCAGCCTCCCCCAGGAGGACTGTGGGACTCTGGTGAGTGGCGACGGAGGAACCTTCCATCTCCACTCTCCAGCACTGCACACATGGCGCGCAAACCCTGCTGCCCTCACTCCAACGGCTCCTCTTTGCTCGGGTGGGAGTGTGGCCCAAGTGAGGACCCCAGGGTTGGGGGTAGCGGGGGGTCCGGGCGGGCACACTCCAGCCTGGGGAGCCGCCGGCCGCAGGAAGGAGGCGCACATGCGGATTGACTGGGGAGTTAAATCGGGGCCAGTAAATTGTAAGAACATAATGGCCACCCTGAGTCAGACCAAAGGTCCATGGAGCCCGGTGTCCGGTCTACAGCCAGGGGACAATGCTGCTGAACTAACAGAACAGGGAACCATCAAGTGATGTGCACCCGCCCCCCTGGCACCCATTCCACAGGCTGTCCAAGTTGGAGAGTTGCAGAGAGAGGAGCCTTCACCTGGATCCCCCCTCTCAAACAACCTGTGTTTGTAGCAGGATCTGCAAGCTGGATTTTGGCTTATCGAGTGGGGGACCGGCTTGTCTGTAGAGCACGTCGGTCCGGAAACTGCCCTGCCCTAAGCAGCGGCCATGAGGGAGACCCAAACTACCATGGGGTTCCAGCTGCCCCAATTTCCACTGGGCCCCGCAGATGAGTGAGATCCATCAGCCTGGAGTTCATGCTGTGCTTGGACACCCCGAGTCCCCTTCTCGCAGGATTCCCTGGCCCCCGAGGAGAAGGGCCTCTCTGCTCATGCACTGACCTGACTGCGTGGGTTGGAGTTACCCAGGATGTAGGACCTGGTCACCAGGTTTTCTCCCAGGCTGCTGCTGCCCCCACCAGCGCCCCCCATGGAGCGGTAGCTCCGGGTGATGGTGAGGCTAGAGGCGGATGATTCCGAGGACATGGAGCCGGCCGCAGCGTTCTGGGCCCCGCCGGCTTTCTCTGCCGGCTGCCCGCAGGTGCCACACACCACGGTGCGGGAGCGCAGGTTGTACTCGCCGGGATCACCCGAGCCGCCACAGTGGGCCTGGAGGGGTGGAAAGAGAAACAAGGGGCCTTGAGTACCAGACAGCATAGTGAGGACAGTGGGAAAGATCCCAGGCCCGGCTCGAGGGTTTAGTGAGCGCTCCAGAGACTGAGGCCGACAGCTCCTCTCAAGTGACACCCGCGGAGCCCCAAGGCTGCAGAGGGTACCTGAGCGGAGGAGCTGGCCAAGAACCTCCTCGCCCTGGCAGGGTTGGATTGTGCCTGCTCAACCCCAGCCTAGTCTTGCGATCGGTGCTTTGGGGCGTCGGGCCCCAGCGGATGTTCTGCCATTGCAGGGTGCTCAGAAACCGGAGCCCTGAGTGACGGGTGCATTAGAAAATCCTAACTCGACCAGAACGTGTCACGGGGGGTTCTCTACCTGGGGGTTGCGAGCTCCCTGTCACCCCCATATTGCTGAATGTGGGAGCAGAAGGTACTGCCCAGACAGCACTCAGCGCATGGTAAAGAACCACCTCTGGAACGGATGGACTCTTACCGAAGCCAAAGGGAGCAACTCACACCACAGTGGGCAAACAGGCCTCCGAAAGAGCAGGCGGTGGGTTGCGTGGGGAACCCCTGCAGTCTGTCCTACCCCCTGGCGCTGCGCCCTCTTGTCCCACATATCCCCGACTCCTGCTGACAGCGACGGGAGCTGCCTTTGGGCATGAAGAAGGGAATTGCGTCTCCCTTAAGCCAGTAAAGCCCTCTGTGCCAGGGGAACAGCAGCACGGGAGCCAGAAGTCTGTCTCAAATTTCACATCAAGATCACCTAGGACATAATGAAGTGGCGTGGTCCCCGAGTCGAGTCAGTCACACTTCGGACCACGCCATATGCAGAACCCTAGAATAACCGATAGGCCTCAGGAAGTAAGATTCTGATCTGGGAGGGATTGTTTGGTGTCTGTTCCACTCAGTGGGGGCCCATCCATGCGGCTTCGGAGTCCTGGCGTTTTCAGCCAGGTCTGCCTACAGAGCCACTCGGCAGCAGTATGACCATCCCGAGTGAGGAAATGCAGCCGGTTTACTGTCAGATCCGTTGCTTGCTTCCTATCCTAGTCATGCCTGGTTCTTCCGGATCAATGCTCTGGGCGATTCAATGCTTTGAAGACACGGAGGGCCGTTTCACCAGTGGTTTGCCTGTAGGTAGCACTGTACTAGCCAGGCCGATCTATTCCCCAGCCCTGCCTCTACTGGCTATTCTGGAGATGGGCTTGAATAAAACTTCTCCCAGGCCAGACCCAAACAGCTAACGCCTTCCGTACCAAGGACCCCACAGGGACTGGGTTTATGTCAGAAGCTCACTCCTGGGAGGAATTCAACTCTCACAACAAATGGGAGAAGGAGATCCTGGCTCATTTCTCATCAACATTCACCCTGACACGGCTGCTCGGAGCTCGAGCAATGAAAAGAAGAGGATCAGGCACGACAGAGCCCCCAGCTGCCCCAATCAAAGCTGCTGAGAGCTGCCTCTGGCACCCCTGCGGAAGTGGAGGTACCGAGCCCTCGATCTTCCCGTCTGATCTGCACCGGAGGTGCCTCACTCTCTGCCCATTTAGCTCAGGGGCGGGAAGAACTGAGCACGTTTCTAACTGGGCACCGGCCCAATCTCTGTGTAACAAAGCACCTGTCTGTTGCTGGCCCCAGATTAGGAAGGGCACTTTTAGCTGTGTAGGGAGGAAGTGCGCAAGTCCAAGAAGGCACCGGATGGGGGGCTAAAACCGGAGCCACCACTGGGATCCGTGGATGCATTTCAGCAGCCACCTTGCCAAATGCAGGGCATCCATTGCAGCAGCCATCTCTACAGCTCGGCTTCCACCGAAGCCTGCATTGTCCTGCGGGCTCCAGGCCAAGCGGATCTTCACGGGGCCAGCTTGGAAGCAGATTCACCCTCTCCTCCAGGGGAATGACCAGAGTGCCTTTCGTGCGAGATGCTCCAAAGGAAGCCACATCGTCTGCTCGGTCCAGGATGCTGGGAGCATCTCCCCGTGCAGAGACCACCTCACGCAGCCAATGGATGGGAGTTTGCTTCCCAGACACGGGGCTTGGTTCCAGCCAGACACGTAATACCCTCCCCCCATCATCGCTGCTCCCAGCACCCCGGGAAGTGCAGGGCCAGTGCAGCAGGAGGGGGACTTGCCTGAGGCCACCCAGCGGGCAAAGCGGCAGAACCAGGTTTCGAGCCCCCGCCCCACTGGCTCCCACCGCCTGTGCCTGACAGAGCAGGGTGCTTACGTGGTGGTGACGGTGGTGGACGCTGACTTCGTCATCGTCATCCTCCTCCTCGTCATTGATGATCACCGTGCGCACCAGCTTCCTCATGGCCACCTCCTGGGCGGGAGGGAAGGCAGAGTCAGCTACACTTACAGAGACCCCCCTTTTGCTCTACGGCTCATGAGACAGCGACTCCCGCAGACAACGGCACCACACGAATCCGACCCCACCCCACCGTCCTCCGCCCCTTGCCCATCCCTCTCTGGCACCCGGCCGGAGCATGCAGCCCCCAGACCTGGACTGCCCAGCGGACCAGGGCAGGAGCCTCACCTCTCCGTTGGAGCTGATCAGGGCGGTGCGCAGGCTGTCTCCAGAGCCCCAGGAGCTTTGGGCCTTCCACACCATGTCGGTGGGAGGGCTGTGGGTGGCGCCAGCACCGGAGGCCCAGATCTAAAGAGGAAACACAGAGATCGGTAGCACCTCCCACTGGCAAAGCAACCAACCCCTCACTGCCCACTGGGGCGCTGCCCCTGTCCGGCAGCTGCCCCGCATGGGAGCCTGCTACAGAGGAGCTGCTCCGATAGCTCAACAGGGGGAGTTTCGTGCTGTGGATGCTGTAGGTTCCAGGGTCAGACCCCCATGCTGGACTGCTGAGGGGAGGGGCTCGCGACACGCTCAGCTCCAAGGACCAGAGGTGAGGGAGATGGGCTGAGAAAGATGCAGGCAGGAGCTTAAAACGCTGGGGGAGGGGGAAGTTTGATGCTGCAACTGGCTTCTGCTAATGCCGGGGCCCCGATTTGGAGCACGCGATGCCAAAATGCAGCAGCACGTCAGCCCCAAAGGGCAGGAATCGCACTAGGACTGTTGGCAGGGTGACTGCTGCCGTTCCAGGCTGGGACCTGCCCATGCAGGCGGTCCCGGCACACAACGGGGAGATCAGCCTGGTCTTCCTTTGAGATCCACAGCCCCAGGAACTGCAATCCCCCAGGTGTCCCCAAGGGGGAGCCCCGCGGCCCCTCGCATGAGGGGGCCGCTAAAGAGAAGATGCACGGGCTCCAAGGGGCTGGGTTTTCTCTGCCTCCTTCAGGAGAATGGGGGCAGGGGTGAGAAGTGCCCAGGGAGAACA